GTTTGCTTTTAGAAAATATTGTTTTTTTTATTTTTTGGGGTGTGTACATAGGAGTATTATTATTATTATTATATTTTTGTTATTATTGTTATTATTATTATCATTATTATTATTGTTATTATTATTATTATTATTATTATCATTATACTACTACTACTACTACTACTACTACTACTACTATTACTATACTACTACTAAACTACTACTAACTACTACTACTACTACTTACATTATTATCATCATTACTATTCTTATCATTACTATCATTATTAGTTACGGAAATCGAATTAGAAAGCAGAAAGAAAGAAGAAACACCTACCAAACAACAATGCTAATAAAAACCAAACAGATAAAGACACGACAACACAAACCCAAAGAAAGCCAAATACAAGTACACGTCGATAGAGACGACAGAAGTATATACGAAGTTAAGTAAAAAAGAGTAAACTACAAAAGCGTCTAGCGCAAGTACAGAGCGACAAAAGGTCCTCCCCTCTCCTCCTCTTCTCCTCCTCCTCCTCCCTCCTCCCACACCGACGAAGAGAGAAGGAGGAGGAGGAGGAGGCAGGGGGCGAGAGGCGAGAGTGACGTCGACAAATGCCTCGGCGCCGCTTCTCAAAACAAAGCGTTCGAGACACAGTTCGAGAAAGCATCGCCATCTGTCGTTGCTCATCGAGATCCGTGAGAATTTACGCGTCTTCGATCTCATTTGCATACCGGTCCTCCTCCCCCCTGTTTCTTTTTGTTTTTTTTTATCTTTCTTCTAACTCTTTCTCAATCTCTTTCCTTCTTGTCCTTGTCTTTTTTTTTTATCCTTCTTGCTAACTCTTCCTCAATCTCTTTTCTCATGTCCTTGGTCTTTTTTATCCTTTCTTTCTACTCTTCCTCAACTTCTTTCTTCTGTCCTTGGGTCTTTTTTATCCTCCTTCTCCTCCTCTTCCTCAACCTCCTTCTTCCTTTTTCCTCCTTTTTATCCTTTTCCTCTTCCTTCTCCCTCAATCTCTTTCTCCCCCTCCTCCTTTTTATCCTTCTCCTTCTCTTCCTCAACAACCTTTTCTCCCTTCTACTTTTTATCCTTCTCCTCTTCTTCCTCAATCTCCTTCTCCCCCTCCTCCTTTTTATCCTTCTCCTTCTCTTCCTCAACAACCTTTTCCTCCCTTCTCCTTTTATATCCTTCTCCTCTTCTTCCTCAATTCCTTCTCCCACTCCTCCTTTTATCCTCTCCCCCCTTCCTTTTTATCCTTCTCCTCCTCTTCCTCAACAACCTTTTCTCCCTTCTCCTTTTTATCCTTCTCCCCCTTCCTCAACCTCCTTCTCCTCCTCTTTTTTTTCCTTCTCCTCTTCTTCCTTAATCTCCTTCTCCCCCTCCTCCTCTCCGCACACCTCTTTCTTCTTGTCTTATCTTTCTCCCTTGTCTCTTCCTCATCTTTACATCTCATTTCCCTACTTCTCCTAGTCTTCTTTCTCCTCCTCCTACTCTTTCAGTCCATCTTCTCCTCTTTTTTTCATAGTCTTCCCTCCTCACCGCCTCTTATCCTCTTTCACATCATTTTCTTCTTTCTTTCACCACTTCCTAGTCTTCCTCCACCTCACCTCCTCTTTTACTTCCCCTCCTTCTCCTCTTCCTCCACCTCCTCCATGCCTTTTCCCCCTCCTCCGCCTCCTGTACGTCCTCCTCCCTCTTCTATCCTCCTTTCTGATTCCCCCTCCATATCTTCCTCTTCCCCTCCTTCCCTTACCCCCCCCCACCTCTCCCTCTTTATCCCTCTCGCCCCATCTCCCTCCTCTCTTATCGCGAACGCGAGTCTATTCCAAATCTTAAATAAGCAAAAAACAAACAAACACGCAATTTGAAATTCCTTAATATGGCTTGTGGAGTATGTATATCCGTAACTATACTTGTAGGTGCACATGTAAATGAACACACTTCATTTTACTTACTGAAAGCGAAACTGCTAACATGGTTTAAGTAAAAACAAATTTTCTGTCTCTCTCTCTCTTCTTTCTATCTTTCTCGTCCTCTTCTCTCTATCTTCCCTCATTCTCTCTCTCNAGGGCACACAACACACGACACGTGTGGCGTAATTAAACAGAGCTATATCCTCCGTGAAAAGACGGAAATGGACATCAGATGGTTTGACCCCGAAAAAGATACGAAGGAAGGAGGCAAAGGAAGGAGGAGAGAGAGAAGTAGCAAGGGGCAGAGGTAGAACGAAGGAGAGAAAGAGCATGAGAGGAGAAAGTGAGAAGGAGAAAGGAGATTAGGAGAGGACGACAGGAGAAGGAGAAGGAGAAGGAGAAAGGAGAAGGGGAGAAGGAGGAGGAGGACCAGAAAGGAAGGAGAGTGGAAGGGAGAGGGAGAGAGGAGAGAGATTTCAGAATGACCAGCGAGTGTTCGATTAATTAGCCCGGATTTGGAAAGTCCTTGCGCTATCCAATTCACAACTAACCAACACAACACTCACACACACACACACAAAATACAGATAACCGTTACAGC